GGCACCAGAGGTGGGCATGGATTCCTGCAGACCATCACGGCTGCTGGAAAAGAGGCAAAGACCCTCTATGAAGGCCAGAGTGCAGCAGCTTTTACTGGGGGACAGCCCATTCATTTCCCATGGTGAATGAAATATTTGTTCTTTTCCCTTCCTCAACCCTAGAACCTGTTAGATGTGGGCAGACAGTTCTGTCTTTGGTGCCCTCGAATTTGGATTTCAAGCAAGCTGATCACAAGTTTGTCCTTCTGTAGGGATGTAATTAAGCCACTGGTTTTGTCATTTCAATTACAGTAGCCCAATTTAGCCTGCAACCCCCCACTTAATACTTTGAAACTACTCTCCTCAAAAGTTGTATGCCAGTCATGCCTTCAGCCCTGACCAGCAGCGCTGGCTGGCGCCGCTTCTGAGCCTGCCTCACCAGCACGGCAGGAGGCCGAGATGGCGAGAGGCTGGAACGCAGGCCGCTGCCCATGGCACCTCCTTTGAAGGCAGCGCCCCCTGCCCCCGGCAGTTGTTGCTCCCTGAAAGCACTTTAAACTCCTCGGCTCACACCCTGCCGCTGGAAGGGCCTCGGTGGAGAGAGGTCTGAGCTTTGTTGGTTGGGTTTTGATTTCAGTACAGGAGTTGATAAAAGGAGATAAACCCCAGGCTCAGGAGGGCTGTGGAAATTAAACAGAGATGATATCAAAGTTCCCCTGAGTTTTCAACTGTGATACAGTAGCTCAGTTTTCTCCCATACTGGGGCCGGGAGGCACGCCTTTGATTTCGAAACAATGTTCAGCATCAGTTAAGCCTAGCATTGCTGACTTTTAGGGATTAAGCACACTGTTGCAGTAATTCTTTGATCAGCTACAAGGGAGCAGTGTGCCGTCTCTATGAAGGGTCTTTATAGTTAAAGTTCATTTCACCATGAACCTGGGATGACAGCCTTGGCTAGGTGCTGCAGCGCTGGGAGCTGGGGCCTCCTCAAGTGCTATCTGTAGCACTGCAGGCAGAAGCGGGAAGCAGGCTTGCCCCCTGCCTTGTTGTGTGGATTGTATGGTACTGTTTGAGCATGGCATGATGGAAGAAATCCTCCTGGCTTGGAAAACACTTCACCTCAACCCTCCCCAGCTTTCCCAGTCTGTATACATGTGTACATGTGGGTGCATGCGCGCGCGCGCACACACACACACACACACACACACACACACTACTCTCCTGCCTTGCAGAGGAAGCATCTCAGGGGCAGACAATGGCTGCCTGGAGTATGGCTGCGCAGCCCCCAGCCTTGGAAATGATCTCACAGAAGCTCATGCCCTCTCAGGGGAGAGGTCGGAGTGGGTCCATTTGGGACCTAATGATCGTGAGGTTAAAGTAGGAGGACCTGCTCAAGGTCCAGTTTGCATCCCTGGCACCCCACCACCTTTACCCCTTACCCAGCATGTACTGAGAATAGACTGAGATTGGCCTAATCCTATCATTCTGAAAAATCTCAACATTTGTCTTGTCATCCAAAACACTGGGTCAACTTTGGGGGTTCCCTGTAGAGACCCTTCTTGCAGCCACAGCTGGGATGGTACAAGTTTCCCCCTTTTGCTTCCCCCGCCTCCCAATTGGCCCTGCAACTTCCAGTTGGTAATGGAGCCCCTGTGAGCTGTCGATCCTGCTTGCACCGTGCCATAGATCAACCTATTCCCTCCTGTGCAGTGCTCGGATCTCCCTCATTAGGCCTAAATTTACCTCCATCCTACACAAACATGGCCTTAGCTCATTTTTATTGTTGCAAATTATTTATGAGGGGAATGTTGAATCTTGAAACTGAGGTGTGAGGAAAATTAATCCCATGTTACTTTTATCTTTCTGTACTTTTTTCCCCCTTGCTTGACTTACTGAGCTGTGGCTAGAGAAGGAAAAGCTTTGGCATTTTAAAATATAATTAGTGTTCAAACTGCTTTCTCAATCAGATGGGATGTTGGTACCTCTCTGCCTAGTACAATGGAAAACAGACCAGACCTGGAGAGTAAGACCAGCTGTCCCATTCCTGGGAGGTGACCCAGCCACTTACCAGGTTTGATGTGAGCTTCAACTGGGAAGGAGCCCGAGAAAGCTTCTTGAGAGCTGGAAAGCGCTGTCCAAATGCAGCAGCTATGTATTAGCGGGTTTTGCTGGCAGTTGGGACTCTGAGATAGAGGTGGATGCTGGATGAGGGGCTGTTGATACAACGTTGCAAGTAGGCCTTGAGATCTGATGTGAGAGTCCAGGCAAGTTCATGTTGGTCTTAAGCATCTGGCTCCCTTGCTCTCTCCTCCCCGATCCGATTTGCTCTGTGGGCCCGCAGGAATGGCCTCGCCAAGTCCTCTGCCGCGGGGCCATCCTTCCTGTCTTGCGGCTCCCTGCAGCCCAGGAAATGTGGAGTGCTAGTTAATAAATGGCCTTTTGTTAGGAAGGTCAATTGAAGTGCCGGTAGAGACGCCGTTAAAAGTAATTTGCAGTCAGAAAATATGTAATTCAGGGCAAGCGGCTTTGAGTGATGGCCCCTGCCATGGATATCTTGGGCGTTTCTCATTAAAAGCTGCCTTGGCTGGTGATGGCGTTTCCTCCATGAGTCGGCCTCAGCCCGAGCGGCCAGCAGCCATTTGTCCATATTTCACAGAGGCCGCCTCCATCCGGGGCACAGCAGCTGGGGGGAAGGAGAGAGAACGGAGGGCGTTAGAGATGCTCTGCGCACAGCTCTGTGGGGGCCCTCTGGTAGGCCAGACCCGACTCCTTTGTCTGCCTCAGCCGGGCCGCCCGCAGCCATCTTGGAACCTTCTCCTGGACCACCGCGGGGCATTGTGGGAGCAGCATGGCTTCTTCCAGGGCCTGGTGACCCTCCTGCTGTTGAGAGCGGGCTCCAGGGCAGAGGGCCATTGTCATCGCCGTACAGGGGAGGATATTGTGACCAGGGGATGTGGCAATGAATCCATCAGCAAATAAGATATTGCTTATTCATGCTTACCCCACTTCCCTCTCTCTCCTCCTTTTCTCTTTCCCTTTTTTTTTCTCTCTCTGATAGTAGAGGCCATACTATGTTAAAAAAAAAACAAAAAAAAAAAACTTACCTCACATGTTCTTTATTAAATTCACAGCGTGATATTTTAGCACTGGCAGAATTCATACATTCTGTTAATGAGTTGTTAATTGCGAAGCATTCTTGGTAACCAACAGCAGGTACCAATATTTTGGAAACTGCAGCAATGTTATTTTCATGTTACCAATAATACCGGATTTTTCAAGTGCTGAACCCTTTTGATCAGTGTCTGCTCTGGATCTGCAGGTGCAGATATTTAATTCTTAACCTTTATTAGGGACATATATGTGTATTCACTCAGTAAATATTTACTTAATGCCTACTGTGTGCAGGAAGCACAAAGCCCTGTGTTTTATGCACATAAACCTGCCTGGTAAATGAAACTTGAAAATAGAAAATGATGCAGTGATGCAGTGTGATACCCCCTGCCCTGGTCGTTTAGAAGCTTATTTTCAGAAGAATTAAGTAAAGCATAACTGTGTTAAGCTTTTTGTTATAAACAGAAGAGGAGGCTGCAGCTGTGCCAGGGACTTCCTTGCTTTGATCGAGGACTTGGCTCCATTTCATTGACAAGTCTGTTTCCGCAGCTTTTGGTGGGTTCCACTGACTTCATGGGAGACTTGCATACGGCATTTTGATTGTTCCTATTTAGGAGGCTGCAATCATTTTTAATGGCCTCTGCCTTTTCTGATTCTAGGCTAGAAGCAAGAATATTCCTCCTACCTGCTTAGTGAGGTAGGGTGTTTGGGTTGTGTTAGAAGCAGTAACCAGCCTTGAGAGAACTGGCAGACCTATAGCCAGTGGAGTTTAATTGCTGCAGAAGGAGGTAGAATTTGACTTGCTCTTTTTCACTGCTTGTCCTTTTAAAAGTAGTTAGGTTCATTTAAATATGGTGTTGCCTCTTTTATTTGCTTTCTGGTGCACTGCCACTCCAGCTGCCCAGACCCAGTGCTCTCTATATTCTACCTGTCTCCTCTGGTCAAATCAAAAGGCAGTCAGCAGCAGAATAATAATTTCATTTTCACTCCCTTTCTCTCAAAGTGCCTGGCAAGAATTATGGTCATTGTTAGTATTTGGCTTTGAGTAAGTGCCCACATGACCCGAGGGTGAAACACAACAAAGGGCTCTGCCAGAACCCTAGGGAGTGATGCCTATCACATTTCTGGCCAGTTACCTGGACTTGTGTGTCCCAAACCCGACCAGTCTTATGTACTTTTTGTTGAGCACCTACTGTGTACCAGGGACCTCTCCAAGCCTTTCATTTACATCCACTCTCTTTGACTCTCTTGGTCCTCACAGTAGTTCTGCAAGGGTCAGTGTCATGACCTCGTTTTATAGCTGGGTAATGAAGTTTCCAGGCGGTTAAATTGCTTACTCAAGCTCACCAGCTAGTCAGTCATGGAGCCTGGACTCCAACAACATTCTTTCACCCTGAGCCCAGAACATTTATTTCTATGTTTGCAAAATTCCTTGCTTCTTTGCAAAGCTCTGCCTGCTGAAGGTCTAACCTTGGCTGTGGATTTGGAAGTCTATGCCTCCATAGGAGAGATTGCAAGGGAGAGAGATGAAAGGTATTGTTAGGCTTAGCCATGTCTTTTGTATCTTCAGAGCAGCTACTGGTATCTGTTCAGAAATCAAGCAGCTGGATGGCAGAGTTAAGAATGACTTGCTCTTGGTTTTGAGTCAAAATTACCTCCTGAAAGTAGAGACAAGCCCTCATTTTAGCTCAGTGTTCAAAGCTGACTTGAGTGAAGACCAGAGGTGATTTGAATTCTTGACTGGGGAGAAGGGTCACATAGGATCAGGATTCTTTCAACCAGTTCATGTATGTGGACCTTAGCTCACAGTATTTGCCCCAAGATTCTGTTTCTGTCTGTTTGAGCCTTCATATTATTCACGTAAATGCTATGTTTGAATTTTGTGCTTTCTTTTTCCTTTTCTGAACCAGGACCAGTCCACCATGCCTGAAGTCAAAGACCTCTCAGAAGCCTTGCCCGAAACGTCAATGGATCCCATCACGGGAGTCGGGGTGGTGGCTTCTCGGAACCGAGCCCCGACAGGCTATGATGTAGTAAGTCAAGATACTAGTTTGTGCATTTTGCTCACTGATTCTACAGTATTTATTTCCTGTGTCCAAGACCCTCTGACCCTTTTGTGTAAGATGTGCTTCTTCCCTCTAGGACTTTAAGGGAGGGTATGGAGAGCATTCTGGTTTGGGAGTCAGAAGACCTGAGCCCATCTGGGCCATTTCCTGGCCTTCACCACCTCTATGATGGTCATTTTCACCTGCTGTAAAATTAAGGCGTTGGATTCATTGATTTCCGACTTCTGGTTGTGACATTTCATGTAAAGGATCCAGAGTCTGTGAAAGACTTCTGGTGGTTGTCATATATTGTCATGCATGTATAAATATTGTAAAGGCATTGTCCTACATCTGTGTAGCTCTTTACAGTTTAAAACGTTTCCTACCCATGAACTCATTTAGCTCTCATGAGTTTTTGGAAGACTGGGAGGGCAAGTAGCTGTATTGCCTCTTTGCTAATTAGGAGAACCCAAGCTCTGAGAAATGAAGTAACAGAGTCCCAGTCCTTGGATATGGTGAATCATCACTACCAGACCCCCACCAAGTCCAGCGCTGTGGCTGACCACACCACCACAGTTCAGTGGAGAACTTTCCTTGCTTTTCAGCAGGCATCTGTGCTGGTGTTCAGTAGTCCTGATGATTGGAACTGGTTGTTTTGTTGTTTCAGTAGGTAAATTCTGATTCGGGTGGAGCTACCAAGTACAGAGAAACATTAGGAGGGTTTAATTAACAGTGGATATTATCATGTGTTCTGAGATTCTAAGGTGGCTTTATGTTTACTTTCCTCATTTTGTATGTGACAACGTTTTGTTCTTATTCACTGAAAATGTGCACCAAGAATACATAAGAGTGAAAGTAGCCAACATTGGAAACCTGCCACAGCAATTAGAATAGTGACTGATGTCCTCTGGTGAGGCAGATGCAATGCCTGGTCCAGCAGAGGAAACCCCAAGGCAGGGTTTCCCAACTTCAGTGCTGTTGACATTTAGGGCAAGACAATCAGATAATTCTTTGCTGTGTGCTATCCTGTGCACCCTCTGTTGTTCAGCAGCATTCCTGGCCTTTCCTTAGTGAGTACCAGTAGCACCTGTCCCTCCTCTCCCAGTGGTGACAACCCAAATGTCTCCAGACATTGCCAGGTGTCTCCAGGAACAGAGGGAGGGTGGGCAAAATCCGCACCTATTGAGTACTGCAATGTTCAATGCGGATCTGTATGGGGTCAGCCAGTGCTGAGTCCTCAGTAAGGAAGGAAGAGCCTGTTCAAATGCTACACATCCCTTTCCCAACTGTTCGAAAGCTCATAAACATTTTAAAAATGAAAAAATGAAGAAATGTTTTCTGACAAAGATTTGAGTCTTACCTACTGCTTGACTTCAAAGCATGGTTTGAATGTATATGTTTCCATAAAATAGAATCATTAGGTATGGCTTTGTGCCATGATACTCTGGAGGAAGCTAATAAAAACATTCCTGATTTGAGAAGCCAGAGTGTCTTTTGATGAATTAGGGATGAAGCAGCAAGTTATGAATCAAGGCAGGGACTGGGAGCTCCCACTGTGGGAGAGGACGGGCTCAGGGTTCGCTCTCCTAGGAGGGCTCACAGGGAGCATGAGCCCAGGGCAGTGGTCTCACCATCTTCCCATGCCCTCTTTTGTTGATCTGTATCTTTAGCATTCTGTTTGTACCTTTGGGGTCATCCTGCATGCCTGGCTAGTGGGCGGCAGATGGCCTTTGATAGTTTGGTTTTCTGGAAGTCTTGGTAAGTCTGACAGGAGCAGAATCTATCCCTATCATTTTCTCCTAACATCTAGCTCAGGGCAGAAGAGCGCAGTGTCAAATGAGTAAAATTAATAAGCACATTTCATGATTGTGCTGTGCCATGCATTTTAGTGGGAGGTGAGCAGGGCAAGGGGCTTGAGCTCATCTGCCCAGTAATTACCCAGCTCTGTAAGACCGAGGTGGAGACTGCCCGGGGTCCCTCTGAAAGCCCTAACAGGGAGAGAGGTGGGAGTCCCCTCTTGGTACTGGCCTCTGGACTGTTTGCAGATAAGTGTCTCGTTCCCCAGAGGTCTGGCTCCAAGTTCAAGGAAGGCGGGGAGGGCATGGTGAGAAGAGAGACTTCTCATTTCTTTTATCTGGAGTTTCATATTAAGTCAACATCCAAACCAAAGTGCAAAGCGCTCTGTGGTGGCTAGGCTGCAGAGACAGCTTAGACAGGACTCCAGCAGATGAGGAAGCCCTGCTGTGGATTGGGGCGAGACCTCTCTCTGTCTGTTGTAGCTGCTGTAGGATTAATATCTCCCTGCACACAGAGCCTGTTAAGTACTGCCACCACGCAGCCCTGCAAGTTAGTCACCAGATGGACTGGTGACCCTGCGTAGCACAACTGCTTTAAAATGAGCTTAGGTCCCATTGCTACTTGAGGTAAAAGGTGCCAAATGTTCATTTATAAAAATTTAATTCAATAACTTCCCTTCTCTTTGTGTCAGGGGAGGCTTCTTAGGGTAGGGAGCTGGGGATTATTTGCTAAAGTTCTCAATGTATTTTTCCAATATCTGCAGTCCTCTCTGAAATAGCCTCTCTTTTCTGTTCTGCACCCACACTATCTTGGAGTAACACGTGCTTGTCTCCCCTTGCAGTCAGAGTTGGGATGGGTCTCGTGCTTCTTTGTGATGCCACGTGCCCAGAGTAGTGACTATATGTCATAGATGACTAGTGTTTGCCAAAGGTAGTGCATGCTGTTTTATCCTATGTGGATGGTCGGTCAGTTTTCAAAGAATTGTAATGCCATAAGAAGCACTTCCTGCTACAATGCCTGTGTGCAGAATGTAACCTTTAATTTACAAGCCACTCTTGTGCAGTGTCTAAGGAGCATCAAGCTGGACATCACTGAGAATCACTGTTGGGTATGTTTTCCATATGTTTCCAAAAATAAACATTTTACCTTTCACCCACATTCCTTTGCCTATGGGCACCATGGCTCATGCCTGTAATCCCTGCACTTTGGAAGGCCGAGGTAGGCAGATCGCTTGAGGTCAAGAGTTCAAGGCCAGCCTGGCCAACATGGTGAAACACCATCTCTACTAAAAATACAAAAAAATTAGCTGGGTGTGGTGGTGTGTACCTGTAATCCCAGCTACTTGGGAGACTGAGGCAGGAAAATCACTTGAAACCAGGAGGCAGAGGTTGTAGTGAGCCGAGATTACACCACTGCACTCCAGCCTGGGCAACAGAGTGAGTTGCAGGCATTTATTTATTCATTTATTTTGAGACAGTGTCTTTAAATAAATGAATAAATAAATGCCTACAACTCAATTGTCTCTAAATAAATGAATAAGTAAATGCCTGCAATTCAGAGATGGAAGCTGCAGTGCTATGTTTATGAGATGACTCTTTTTCCATCAAGGACATGTCTTCCTTTCCTTGAAAATATACTTTTCTTGATAAAAATAAATAAATAAATAAATAAATAAATAAATAAATAAAAGGTGAGCCACACAGAGAAAGTGAGACTAATCAAACACTCCAGAACATTTTAATTTTAAATTGTTTATTTATCCGCCCCATGTTTTGGGTACCTACTGTGTGCCAGCTAGGAGCTGGGGAAACAGCAATGAGTAAAACACACACAGCTCCTGCCTTCATGAAGCACAGTCTAGAGGGGAAGACAGGCAATGATGGTTGCAAATAAAGATGAAACTGGGGCTAAGTGCTTTGAAGGGAAGTCCGTATGGGTGATTTATCTTTCAGATCTAATTTTCCAGATAATTCTGACAGCATGAACCCCTTGCATGTCACTTCTAGAAATCGCTATCATTCCCTCCCTTTCATACCTTGAAGCCTGCTAGATATTAGAGCCTTTCCCAGGAGACCACCTCAAAGGGGCTCAGGGTTCTTTAGCACCAGCATTCTCCCCTGCCACCACATGCACCTTTTTGTTGGTGACATCTGTGAGGTTGCCCCATGGCTGGGTTCAGCTCCCTGCTCACCTGGCAGCTGCTGCTCTGGCATTTCTGGCCTATGCAGGGGTTGGACACTGCCCTCCGTGCGTCTGCCCCTCTATGATTCTCTGTGGTATCTTAGTTCATTGGTGCTTCTCTAACACAATCCCTGAGACTGAACAGGATTTATTTCTTATAGGTTTGGAGGCTGGGAAGTCTAAGGTGAAGGGCCTGCATCTGGTAAGGGCCTCATTGCTGCATCATCCCACAGTGGAAGGTGGAGGGACAAGAGAGGGAGAGGGAGCAGGAGGGGGCCGTACACATCCTTTAATCAGGAACTGACTACCAGGATAAGGCTGTTAATCCATTCATGAGGACAGACCCTCAGGACCTAATCACTTCTTACAGGTCCTATCTCTCAGCACTCTTGCATTAGGGATCAAGTTTCCAGCACATGAACATTGGGGGCACATTGAAAGTGTAGCACATGGCTTCCCATAGAACAGCTGAGACCAAACTTACTTTTCAGGAGACCTCTCTGGGACTTTGGGGATAATGGGAATGAGACATTACAACTCAGAGGACCTTGACAGCTGTGGGAAGGATCCAGGTCTATGCTCAGACCCCTTCCTTGCCAGCCCTCTGTCTTGCTGTTGGGTACCTTCATCTTGCCTACCTCAGAAAAACGTTGAGAGCTGCCACACCCTAGCAGCCAGGCTAAACTGCCTACTGGTCTCAGAGACTAGGAGATATTTTACTCTTTTTCCTCACTCTGATTTAAGACCTTCTCCATGCTCTTCTTGAGAAACCCCACCCAACACACAGACAGAGTGACTTTTCTGGAAGTCCAAGCTTTAGTGGGCCTCAGTCCTCTGGAGGGACCTCTATCAGAGTTCCTGCCTGAAGGTGCTTTCCACCCTCAGGCACATGTAGAAGAGCAAGGCCCAGTGATATAATAAACATCTGTTTTTCAGCGCCAGGCAAGGAGCCACTCCCCAGGAGGCCTCTCTCATAACCACATAGAGGATAAAAATCCACGTTCTTTGAT